CATCCCCAATTTTCTACCCTCTTCCTCTCCTCTCCCTCCAGTTCTGTATGTACCTCCACATCCATGCATTACCGGTTTTATCGTCTTCCCGCAGGGTCCTCTCATATGTATTTGACCATCCAGTCAAGTTTTTAGTAAGTCATGTAATAGTCATCTCTGTTTATAAACAAATTGTTAATTGAATATGTATGCTCATTATGTGTGTTCTGCTTTCATAAAGAAAATTACTCCTGAAGAAGCAATGGCTGGTCATGAAACATGTAGAGCACGTAATCTCTGGAGCACCCCAACAGTTGAAAGTATATAGACGGCCATTGCCATTCCCATCACCAATTGTCAATATTTCTACTGTTAGGAGGTGAACACTATTATGCGCCAACATTAGTGATTTTTTGGAAGCATTTTTTATCGTTTGATATATATATATTGCATTTTATGATCATGGTTCAAAATAAACTATTACGTTTTAACTAACAATCGTGTCGGGTACGTGCCTACAAAGTCCATATATATTGTCTCTTCTTCCTTTTGTGATAACTATTAGGATGTGGCACAAGCGTTAATATATGTATCCACGGCGCCACCCCCGGTGGCTACAAAAAAGTATAATATCTCTACACAATTTGATTCATCTGAGTTTGAGTTATTCCTGATAGAGAAATATTGTGCATAGGAAATCCTTCTTTTATTAACTCCAAGCAAATGGAGAAACTAGGAGATTCAACAGAAGTCTTAAAAGAAGCTCTTCAGACCGCAAATCTTACAGGGAATTCTTGGAAGGTTTCTAGTACAGAGTTCTTACCAGACAGAACAGAGCAACTAGACATGCAATTAACCAAGCATCACCAGCTGAACTACTTAGTAGACAAATGCACACTAAAATAAATGTGTTGCAGACATAACTGTACATCTCCCAAAACATTCAGTGCCTCTGAAATAATTTAAATTATGTTCAAAATCAACAAGATAAATGTAAGACATATACAGATCAGAAACATGGTGCAAAAAAAATACACTTTTAGCCTGGAGTTGGAATAAGAAAACCTGCCTTATTGGAAAAAGGACAATCCAAATTTTCCAATCTACTTGACATCTAGTGACAAGTCAACAGGGACCTTAAACCAATAAACTGTGATGGATACATATGGAATACAAGTTGTTTTGCACTTGTTAAGAAGACATTTTGAGAGGTTTCATTTGATAAAGCACATTTTTCTATTCTTACTGATAACAACTAACCCAAAGATCAGGAACCCAAATCACCTAGAGACAAATTTAAAGAATCAGAAGGCCTCTTGTGTGAAACAAAGGTTATATGATATAATTATTATCATTATTATACAGGATATATATAGTGCCAACATTTTGCGCAGCGCTTTACAATATAACGGGAGACATTACAGTTACAATACAATTTGGTACAAGAGGAAACAGAGGGCCCTGCTCGTTAGAGCTTACAATTTAATTAAAATATCAGTATTTACCTTTATGAAGGCAATTACCATTATGAAGGCAAAAAGTAAATTTCCATTTTTGCATAAAGATATAAAACCCATAGAACATCCAACTTTGGGAGTGCTCAAAGCATATCAAGATGAAGATGCAAGAGATATTTCCCATTTTAGGGTGGATGTGATGAAGGTCACCACAGTAAAAGCTAGGAACATTTCAAATGAGAAATTTTAATGTTCACACAGACAATTGCTACATCATGCTTGCCTAGATCTTCTATGGTTTGTGAGAATGAAAACTTGCAAATAGCTTGATATATGAATAGTACATTTGTTTAATGCAGAATTAAAGGATAAGTTCACCTTTGGGAACATTTTACATGTTCCACTCGTTATTAGGTGGAACATGTAACATGTTCCCACTGCTGCAGCTGCTGCAAGCTGCCCTCTCTCACTGTGACAGCAGTAAGGGGGGAAATTCCCCATACCAGCTGTCACTTTTTGAAAATAGCACTCCGCCCACATGGCTGCGTCATTCATTCACAGAGTTCTATGAATGAATGAACTACAAGTCCTGACATCCTTTACAGCTGTTGGCTTGTAGTTCTTAATGAACTATCACATCATTGATGAGCGCTGTGGTAGTTCATTAAACCTTCCTGTCAATGTAAAACTGTCTGCCCGTACGATGTACGGGTACACAGTTTACACTGACAGCCTGCAGGAGACCTGCATGGCACCAGTGATCTGCTAACTGCTGCTGCAATGCTTTACAGGCTCAAAAAAAAAGTAAATGCACATTTTTTTTTTCAAGTGAACCTATCCTTTAAATCTGTATTTTATTGTGGGCATGTATTGGCCTTCTGAAAGCATACATCCTATAGTTAAAACAATCAGTTTGTACATTTCATGATAATTCTTAAAATATTTGTTTAGACGTAGAGTTCCTATTAAAACATGCCCAAAAAGAATTAAAAGCAAACAAATAAAGCACAGTGCACAGAATGCCTACAAAAATAAATTGGTTTAAATCAATGTTATTAAATGTTTTACAGATTAATAAGCTGATGTTTGCTGTATTATGTGTGAATAATGCATTTATTTAGCAATTAAACAATTAATATAGGGTTCATTCATTACACTGTTTACAGAGGATGTGGGCTTTGTAACAAGAAAGCCCAGCACTGCATACTGTACATACTTGTTGTGTAACGGACTGATTAAAGTAGAACTCTGAGCAAATAACAAAAATAAATTTGTTATGCATTCTGCAAACCTTATTACCTTTGTTCACATTCCCCTTCTATGTCCACTAATAACCTGTTGATGCTGGAAGCAAAACTGTTATTCTTCACTTCTGAATGAGTGACAAAGTGCTATGTCTTTCTTGTTTCCATTGTACTTGCTGTGACTACAGTGGGTTGTTGTGGCTACTTACATAACATTGTTACTCTTGATTTCCAAGTTTCTAGCTTGTCATTCAATAGCTAGTTATGCCTAGCCCCATCCTCCACCCTTGGAATTGACAAAGCTGGCTTTTTTTTAATTAAGAACCATCATGGATGTCACATGAGAAGAGGGTTTTTTACTCCGAAACATTAAGATTCCCACCTCCACCTGAGTGTCCACATGCCAGCCGGAGGTTTTTCTGGTATCTATCCACATGTATTGATGCTTGTTAATTGCTTTAATTTTTTACTGGTTTTCCTCCCTGTTCAATATACACTCAACAGCCACTATAATAGGCACACCTTGCTAGTGCCATGAAAATATCCCCCTCACCATTACACCACCATCACCAGCCTGAACCAATAATACAAGGCAGGATGGATCCATGCTTTCATGCTGCATATGCCAAAATCTGACCCTACCATCTGAATGTTGCAGCAACCAGTCTCCCTATTCTCCTCTGACATCTGACATCAACAAGGCATTTTTGTCCACACAACTGCCGCTCACTGGATATTTCCATGTGTACTTGGATGCCTCCAATCAATACCAGCTAGACACCTCTCCGGTGAGCCTCCAGGTCAGATCCTCAGTGAACTCTCTTTGATTTGGCTTCAGCTACTCTGAAAAGCAGCTCTGCCTGAGCTGGGACCTTGGTGCTCCTATCAGAAAATAGGCCCCCCAGCTCGCTCTAAGCTGGCACCTCAATGAAACCCAGGACCCTGCATTCACTATATCTGGCCTCCTGCAGTACACAGAACATTGAAGTGTAATTATTTTAGCAAATATAAACTGCTAAATACCTTTTCTCATCAGCAGTTAGAGCAGTCTTGTGACTTCTATCAGTGTCCAGGCAAGCACTGGGTAAAGTTTGTAGGAGGAGTTTTCATTCTGCTCTAGGAGGATGCAGGACCCCTGACCTATGTCTGAACAGTGTTGATTGGCCCTGTGCTGATCACATGCACTCTCCCAAGAAAAAGAACAACCTATCTATCTAATACACACCAAACTGAGCATGTGCAGAGTGACTCCACATGATATGTCTTATCAAGAGATAAGAGGGGGGAGGGGTACTGGAAGTAGGGGAGGATCAGAGAAATCAGGATCAAACAGCGTTTTTACACAATGCAGAGGATTAACCCCTTAGGTTCCACAGTGAGTATAACAAGCATGCTTTACTGCATATACAGACTGATTTTACTGTTGTGGGTTTAGTAACACTTTAAGTAATCTACCCACAATGGCAGCAGCCCTTTGTCTGGGTATTGTCCTCCTGGACCTCGCTGTTCCAGGTCCCAAACTATTTATACACCCCATTTATACACACAGCTTGCAACCAGCATGACCTAGAACAGACAAAAATAATCACAAAAATAAAAAAAATAAATTTACCTTAACATCACTAGCAACATAACTAGGAGGGAGCTACATTAGTCAGTACCAGTGTGCAAAGGTGCGTTTGCTTTGGAAGTATAAATCACCTCTAACATCCGGTGTCCTATGTGTGTGGATGCTGCTGTGTTATGTAAAACTATTTGTTCTGTTTTTTAACTATTTTGAATGGGGCGTCTCGAGAGTTTTCAGAATTTTAAAAGGTGCCTTGACTGAAAAAAGTTTGAGAAACAATAGTCTAAATAGAGGAACTGCAAGGAGAACCTGTGCATGTACACTATATTGCCAAAAGTATTGGGACACCTGCCTTTACATGCACATGAACATTAATGGCATCCCAGTCTTAGTCTGCAGGGCTCAATATTGAGTTGACCCACCCTTTGCAGCTATAACAGCTTCAACTCTTCTGGGAAGGCTGTCCACAAGGTTTAGGAGGGTGTCTATGGGAATGTTTGACCATTCTTCCAGAAGCGCATTTGTGAGGTCAGGCACTGATATCAGATGGGAAGGCCTGGCTCGCAGTCTCCTCTCTAATGCATCCCAAAGGTGTTCTATCTGGTTGAGGTCAGGACTCTGTGCAGGCCAGTCAAGTTCCTAAACCCCAAACTCGCTCCTCCATGTCTTTATGGATCTTGCTTTGTGCACTGGTGTGCAGACATGTTGGAACAGGAAGGGGCCATCCCCAAACTGTTCCCACAAAGTTGGGAGCATGAAATTGTCCAAAATGTCTTGGTATGCTGACGCCTTAAGAGTTCCCTTCACTGGAAATAATGGCTCAAGCCCAACCCCTGAATAACAACCCCACACCATAATCCCCCCTCCACCAAACTTTACACTTGGCATAAAGCAGTCTGGCAAGTACCATTCTCCTGGCAACCGCCAAACCCAGCCACGTCCATTGGATTGCCAGACAGAGAAGCATGACTCATCACTCCAGAGAACACGTCTCCACTGCTTTAGAGTCCAGTGGCGGCGTGCTTTACGCCACTGCATCCGACGCTTTGCATTGCACTTGGTGATGTAAGACTTGGATGCAGCTGCTCGGCCATGGAAAGCCATTCCAGGAAGCTCTCTAAGCACTGTTGTTGTGCTAATCTGAAGGCCACATGAAGCTTGGAGATCTTTAGCTATTGACTCTGCAGACAGTTGGCAACTTCTGCGCACTGTGCACACCACAATGCGCTGACCCCGCTCTGTCAGTTTATGTGGCCTGCCACTTTGAGGTTGAGTTGCTATTGTTCCTAGTTGCTTCCACTTTGCTATATTACCAGTAACAGTTGAATGTGGAATATTTAGTAGCAAGGAAATTTCACAGATGGACTTATTGCACAGGTGGCAACCTATCACGGTACCACACTTGAATTCACTGAGCTCCTGAGAGCGACCCATTCTTTCACCAATGTTTGTAGAAGCAGTTTGCATGTCTAGGTGCTTGATTTTATACACCTGTGGCCATGGAGGTGATTGGAACACCTGAATCCAATGATTTGGAGGGCTGGCCCAATACTTTTGGCAATATAGTGTACTTTGATTTACTGTTATGTCTTAATATGATGCTTTCTTTCATAAATATATGAAATTCTAAAAAGTTAGCTGTTTAGAGTGCTGCCTATTATTTACTTTGAGTGGAATTTATATAAAGCACAGCAATAGTCTAAACTGCATTGAAGTTGAGAGGCAGAGAATACATTTTCATATAGAACTCATACATATGTATAGCAAGGCTAAACATGTTCAGGTTCAGACCACATGGTGGCACTATAAGATACTCACTTTTTTCTGTTAAAGTTAGCAATTATTTAAATCTATTGATATGAGCAATGTTTTCCAAGAGATAGATGAGTCATGCAGAGTACATTATTCAGAGAAAAGAAATATATCTGTGGCTGCTTGTACTGAACATTTTGTGAAAAGCCATGCAGTGAAAATGTATTTCAGCTTGATTGTGAGGGCTGATATATTTATATATAGATCATTTGAATTGCTTAAGGCCATGTCACACCACCATGGCAAATCACCAGCAATAGGATCATTAAAGAGACCATTAACCTGCTCCTTTAGCATCCTTACCTCACTGACTGAAATTATGGAGAATCCCATTTGCCAATGAGGGAGCAGAGATGGGGCAACATGTCTCTGGTTCAGCCAGCTAGAGATGGCTATCATACAAGCAGGTGAGTGTTATACACTACTCTATTAGTGAGCAGGACTGGGACAATGAATGGGCAGGAGGGGCAGCTGCGTCAGGCGCAGCAGGAGGTGGGGGCACCTCACCGCACACACACTCCAAATCATTGGCACCTTTATGCCTCCTCTGTCACATTGTGCTCCACCCTGCACTCTCTCCACCCTATCCAGCCACATCTGATGCAAATCACACATGCAACTACTGTACCTTCTAACTTCTAGAAAGCAAATAATTAGCCGTGCATGTCCAGTGCACTTTCCATGCCGACCAAAGGCAATTAGAGCAAGGGGGTAGGGAATGGATGCAAGGCAGTACAACCAGTCTAGGGCACACAGTAGTAGCAGGGGAGGGGGTTGCAGTTCCACATCTTTTCCCTCGGAGCTGGAGGAGCCTGTCCTGGTACTGTTGGTGAGTTGCCGCCAGCAATAGCATCACTACTAAATAGTAAATAAAGTGCAGCGCTAAAAATGTCAAACAAATAGTTTGTTCTTAAAAAGTTTGTTCTAAAAAGTTTGTGCAATATCTCAATTGATACAATGATAACCAGATGGTGGACACAGCTGTGAAAAATCCAGTAGAAATGACAGAAATGCGCACTCACCGACCGCGCATAGGAAATGCGCATATGTGTATTAAAATCCGCAGGTGTCGTTCTCCCTCAGGAAGGGGTGTCATCAAGCGATGGTCTGCTGGACTCAGAGGACCTCCTCAGGATCAGGGTAAATCAACCAGGTGAAGACTCCCTCCTCTGGGTGTAGTATGCACTGAAGGCTGTGTCTGCTGGTCTGGTAACCCCTCAGTAAGGGGCAAAAGATGGGAGAGTACCCATAGTGTAGTATGTCAAACTTTATTAGCAGCAAAATTAATATAGGACAGGTCAGTAATAATACTGGCAAGAGCCAGAAAGTACAAGGTAAAAAGTGTGTTACTGACCTAAAGTAAAATGGCCGCCAGACCTCCTCGTGGTCTGAGCGGCGATGAGGTGTCACAAGCTGTCAGTTCCTCCTTAATAGCATCACTACTGTTATATGGTCTTTGTGGGATCCAGAAACTGTCTAGCTCTGTGGTGAAGTACACAGGTAGTAATACTATGTGGAAAAAAATGTAGTACAAAATGAATGTATTTCTTCTATAAAAAACAATATGTATTTGGTATCTCTGGGGGAATTGAGAAGGAGATGGAGAGGCAGAGGGAACCCCTAATGGTTTTGCAATGAGTGCTATCAAACATACTGTAGTTATGGCCTGTGCATGATATCAAACAGTTGTTGACAAAGGGCTCATATTGCAGGTTAGACATTTCATTAGATTAAAAACCATCTCCAGGCAAAAATTAGATCTAAAGCCAATCTTGTATAACCTTTACCTTCTTAGTTTAATTTTAAAAGTTGTGTTTGATCTTTATTCAGGTCCTTATTCAGGTAAGCCCTCTTATGGAGTGAGGACTATCTACTAATTGTGGTGCTTCTGAGTTGTCACCTTGTGACATACAACCTTTCTTGATACTAGAAGCATTGCCCACTACCCAAGCATGGCCCACTACTGGCATTATCAGGAAGCCGATCCTGAGCAACAGTCCTGGAGCTGACTGTACAATAAGAGCATCCTATATATAGGGTATATCTGGACCAGCACCTTGGTCATCAAAGCACAACCCTTACTGTAACAAGAATATAACTAGAAATGATGACTGGGACTTTTCAGGTGCTACAGTGATACATTTCCCAAATGCAGGTTATAAGAAAAAGGATTTCTTTATTACAAATGAAAATACACATACAATTAAATATGGGCTTGACTTAAAACTGATCTCCAGGTATGAGCTTTACTGCATATTTATATTGGTCCAGCTTGGCACAATGTAAGCATGCATATCTCATACCCAGGGGTCTGCTGAGGAGACTGACAATCACTGTATTCTTTTTTGCTACAATAGTGATAGCTGTAAAAAAAAATGATTGATTCCTATTCGCAGATCACATGGTTTCTCCCTATAATCAATGAAGATGGTGATCCGCGGGAATAAGTACCCTGGGGTATCCATTGATATTTTTCAGTGTTTACTTGACATCATGACATAGCTAACTCAGTTGGTTGGGTGCTTTCTCCCTCCACTTCTCCATCATGGAATGGTAACCCTAATCTTAGTTATTGGTCTGTGATAGATGTTTTCCAGTTTGTTGTTATACAAGGAAATACCCAATACAACTTTATGTAAACAAAATGGATTAAGAAAAAAAAACATTGTTTACAATACACTTTGATTCAGAAAACTAAACATGATTCAGTTGGGGTCTAGATCTAACATCACTGACGTGCCCACAATGACAATACTTGTATCTCCACAGTTCTTTTTGGATATTGCAGGATCACAGGTAATTTGAGGTTTAAAGTGGTATTAAGCCCAAAACCAAGAATGGATTTAATTGCAGTTTACCAATCATTAGATGTGGTGCCTGCATCAGTTTCCTTTTCTTTGTTTTTGTTCCCTCGGTTTTCACCTGGTGATCTGGTCAGTTACACACCTCCTGTATTAGTGAAACACCTCCTTGGAGGAATGAGCACAAGACACTACAGGCAGGAGCATTGTCAGTCTGGGGGAGGGGGGTTGGATGGGAGTGATAAATGTTTTAGCAGATTTGAATATGAATAAATGGAAGTTAAATTCCAGCTTACACTGTATAACAGAAAACATTTTTTTCCTTTTTGGGATAAAGGTTATACATGAATAAATAACATTTGATCATTTTTTTTTTGTATTAACAATTTTTATTGGTTTTCAAATAAGTAATTTATAAACAGAACAGAGAGAAACATCGATGGCATAACTACATATAATCATGTCCAATAGAATCATACAAAGTCATACAAAATCAGTGCAGAAACAATCAGGATCTTAGATTCGAGCCGGCAAAGAGGAAATGAAGGAATCCCACGGGAGCCAAATCAACTCAAATACAGCAGACAAACAATTATGTAAAGCAGTCAAATACTCCATCCGTCTTACTTTAGCAATAAGTTTGTACAAAGTCAGCAGTGTGGGGGGAGTAGAAGATAACCAACCCATAGGAATACTTCTCCTGGCCGCGGTCAACACGTGAGCAGCAAGTTTTCTGGCTGGATTAGATAGACCCGGGAATGGCAAGCCCAGCAAAAAATGCAGAGGGTCAAAAGGGAGCGAGGCATGCAGCATTGATTGCAACAAGGAACGGACATCCTCCCAAAAAGGAACAATAGATTTACAAGTCCAAAAAATATGATAGAGAGAACCTGAATCCTTACCACAGCGCCAGCAGACAGGAGAAGGACTCGGGTTGAAAGCATGAAGAACCTCAGGTGTTTTGTACCAACATTTGATCATTTTAACCACTTGCCCTCCTGAGGATTTACCCCCCTTCCTGACCAGACCAATTTTTGCGATGCGAAGCTGTGTTACTTTAACTGACAATTGCGTGGTCATACAACGCTGCACCCAAATGAAATTTATGTCTTTTTTTCCCACAAATGGAGCTTTCTTTCAGTGGTATTTGATCACCTCTACGTTTTCTATTTTTTTTGCTATAAACAAAAACAGACTGACAATTTTGAAAAAAAAAAAAAAAAAAAACAAACAAATATATTTTTTTGACTTTTTGCTATAAAACATATCCAGTAAAAACATTTTAAAAATCTAATTTCATCATAAATGTAGGCCAATATGTATTCTGCTCCATGTCTTTGCTAAAATAAAATCCCAATATGTGTAAATTAATTGGTTTACATGAAAGTTATAGCGTCTACAAATGGTGGTATATACAGTTGCAAGAAAAAGTATGTGAACCCCTTGGGATTACGTGGAGTTTTGCATGAATTGGGCATAAAATGTGCTCTGAACGTCATCTAAGTCACAACAATAGAAGAACACAATCTGCTGAACATAATACTACACAAACATTAGATGTTGCCATGGTTTAATTGCACATAACATGTAAACATTCACAGTGCAGGGAGGAAAAAGTATATGAGGCCCTAGCTTAATGACTTCTCCCAGAGCTAATTGGAGCCAGGATTGAGCCAACCTTGACTCCAATCAGTGTGATGATATTGGATGTGTTGCTGAAAGCTGTCCTGCCCTTAAAAAACACACACACTGTTTTGGGTTTACTGGTTTCAAGAAGCACTGTCTGATGTGAACCATGCCTCACAGAAAAGAGCTCTCATAAGACCTACGATCAAGAATTGTTGACTTGCATGAAGCTGGAAAGGGTTACAAAAGTATCTCCAAAAGCCTTGATGTTCATGTGTCCACGGTAAGACACTGTCTACAAATGGAGAAAGTTTAGCACTGTTGCTACTCTCCCTAGGCTTGGTCGTCCTGTAAAAATGACTGCAAGAGCACAG